TTGCCCTCGGTTCTCCAGTGGGTCGGGAAGAGCCCTTCATTTTCTGTTTCTCCAACTTTTTTCTTGTCGTCAGGGTAGGAGGGATGTTTTCTCTCTTTTTCAACTATCATCGTTAGCTGAAGCGGGAAGTCCTGTGGTTTCTTTTGACGAACATTGGTCCCTAGTTCTGGTGAAGCCAAATTGATCATTGTCAGTCTTTTTCCTTGGTTTGTGGTTTTCCTGTTTTGTTGATTGACCATTGCATATGAACAAATTCTTTTTACCGACATGCGTGTTAAGGCCAAACTATGTTATAGAAATGTTGTGTAAGGTTAGAATCATTTGATCCTTGCATCAAGGCTTGGAGTTTCTTTGTAAGAGAAGTATTAACTACCAATTTAATTTCTTTGTGAATATAGGACATATTATTATTTCTATTTCTTCTTGAGTCATTCTGGTAAGTTGCATTTTCTTAGAAATTTGTCCATCTCCTCTGCTTCAAATAGATCAGCATTTGCTCATAATGGCCTATATTATAAATATCTGTTATTACTTTAGCTCATAAAATTTGTATTTATGCCTTCTGGGTTATTTTCCCTATGATCAACCTCACCAAAGGTTTTGCTGTTTTATCAGCCTATTTAAAAAATCAATTTTTTTAGCTTGTTGATATTTGCTCTTGTCTTTTGGTTTCTATTTCACTGATTTCTGCTTTTCTTTTTATTATTTCATTCCTACTTTATTTTCCGTTGAGTTTTATTTTGCAGCTTTCCATGGTGAAAATGAAGAGTTTAGAAAGGACCAGCCCTGAGCAGGTCCTAAAGACAGAAATGTGTAAAAACAAGGTGGCCACACCCTCAGCGAGCTGTTCTTGTCACACTGCAACCCTCCCTCCACTCACACCTCAAGGTCTCAAAGAAAGAGCTCCCTGTGACCAGTGGTCTGAGGGGAATAGTTCTGTGGATGGACATAATATGCTGGAGCTCGGCAAGAGGGGACAGCTGGGGCTCGGCCAGTGTGACTCAGTGGACTGAGCATCGTCCCATGGACTGAGAGGCCTTGGTTCAGTTTCTGATCAGGGCACATCCCTGGGTTGTGGGCTCAAACCCCAGGAGGGGGCGTGCAGGAGGCAACCGATTGATGTTTCTCTCTCACATCGATGTTTCTATCTCTGCCTTCCTCTCTCTTAAAAAAAAAATCAATACAAATATATTTTTAAAAAAAGAGTGGACAACTGTGGCATAATAGCCCGATTTAAGGGAGACCCTGAGGGATAATGTAGAAAGTTCTTGCCATAGGTAGGACTTCGAAGAGTACATTCCATGGCCTTTTTTTAAATTGAAGGTAAGCTACACTGAGGTGAGGTTCTGACCGCATTCATAGGCAATGACTAATGATCTGTAGAAGGATGTTTCGGGGCTTGGAAGGACCAGAATGGAGGATCAGGACCAGGAAGTGTATGGAAGAGGCTTGTGGATGGACTTCGTGGGATAGAACTGGAGTCTGAGGACTTTTCTCTCTCGATACTCAGACGGACAAGATGGCCCACTGTGCCCATCAGTTAGTTTCTTCCTGCGTCCACCTGTTGGTCGCTGGGCGGGCTCGTGAACAAGTGGCCGTGGTGCAGGGAGCAGCTAAAACACCCGCCTGGGTGGGAGTGTGTTTTCCCGGCTGGGGTGTCCTGTCCCCAGCACTGTGCACGGACATGCAGCGTGCCCCCCTCACCGTCATGGGACCCGCAGCGCGCCGCTCACCCGAAGCCGACTGAGGTATACTCGCCTTCCTCTGCCCCTGCGGGTGGCATCAGTGAAGCAGGGGGAAGCGGATGGGACCCAGGCGGCCCTGTGGTGCCCCCGGTACCCTTATGTCCAGTCGTACCAGACAGTGGGAGAAGCTCTAACTGCCGGCACCCCTGAAGACCGAGCTGTCAGAATGAGGGCCAGTACCTGGCACTGACGGTTTTAGGGGTGCAAGCTGGAGCCACCCACGCTCGGTGCTGGCGAGGGGTGTCCTCACAGCCAGGTTCGGGGGTCTCACTGTTTCAGGTTTGGGGAAATGGGAGTGATGGAGATGAGGAGGGGATATGGCTTTCTGTGTCCAGGAGCTGACGTGAGGTGATTAAGTTTTCAAGCTCAGTGGTGACTGCACCATCAGACGGGAACAGTGGTCGAGTCTACTGGCAAGTGAGTCCCACTGCGGATCGAGGCTTATGGGCAAACTGATTCATCCGCGTCCCTTCCACATCACCACCCCGATTCTCAAGGTCCTGTTTTTACATAAGAGAGCTGGCGAGGTTACGAATTAAACTAACACTGTAATTTGGCAACTCACGGGGTCAAACTTTTAAGTTTGACTCTTAATCTGTTTTTCAGCTGCAAGCTACGAGAGGCTCCTTACTGTGGCTTCGGAAGAACTTCCGGCTTTCAGTCTGCACTGTGATGGGAGGGGCTGGAAGTAGACTTCATCTCTCTCTCTCTTTAAAAACTTTTTTGTTAATCTTCACCCAAGGATATTTTTCCACTGATTTTTTTTTAGACAGAGTGGAAGGGGAAGAGAGAGAGAAACATGGATGTGAGAGACACATCAATTGGTTGCCTCCCACACAACCCCGACCAGGGCTGGGGATCGAACGTGCAACCCAGGAGCATGCCCTTAACTGGGAATTGAACCCGTGACCCTTCAGTCTGCGGGCCGATGCTCTAACCACAGAGCAAGATCAGCCGGGGCAGAAGTCATCTCTTTGTTTAAGGCAGTAGTTTTCACTAGTAGTGACTTCTGTCTCCCCTCCAGGGGACATTTGGTGATACTTGGAGACATTGGTCCAAGGAGGCCAGCCCTGCTCACCAACGCCAAGCACTAGGTGCTGCAGCTCCGGCTTTGGACACGGGCCACGGCGTCACCTCCATGGCTGCTGGTACTTGGGCGTGACTGCTGCTGCCATCCCCGCTGCCTTCGCTCACGGGCTGGCGGCTCCGCACACGCTGTGCTCGGGCCCAAGGCGGGCTGGAGTAACATCTGGCCAGTTCAGCTCTACAGCAGGAGGCAAAGCCTGCTGCCAGCGTGCTGTGTGGGGAAATCCCCACATAGAAAAATGGCACATTCTGATTGGTTACAAAGGACGGCGAACGCCCTGGCCAGTTTGGCTCAGCAGTTGGAACGTCAGCCTGCGGACCAGAGAGTCCCGGGTTCGGTTCCTGCTGGGGGCACGTACCAGAAAAACAAAAAAAGGATGGCGAAGGTCCACCCTACCCCGTCCCACCGCTCTCCCCCTTCTGCTCAGGATGGAAAACCAGGCCTTGTTCTGGACTCCCCTCTTCATGTAGCACGTCAGCAGGTAGTTGATTCTGTTTCCAAAATATAGCCTGGACTCGTCCTGTTCGTCTCTTGTGTTGGTAACGTAACACTGTCATCTGTGTCATCTGGGTGCGGGTAACAGCCCGCCTTCCCACCTCCACAGTCTCCTTCCTGTCCACGTCGATTCTGCAAAGCGGCAAGTGGATTTCTTTTTTTTTTTTTCTTCTTTATTGATTTTAGAGATAGAGGAAGGGAGAGGGAGAGAAACATCGATGAGACAGAACATCGATTGGCTGCCTCCTGCATGCCCCCCAATCGGGGATCAGGCCCACACCTGGGCATGTGCCTTGACCGGGAATCGAACTGGCGACCTCTTGGTGCAGGGTCGACGCTCAACCACTGAGCCACACCAGCTGGGCGCAAGTGTGTTTCTTTATAAATCACCAGGTAAAACGTCTTTGCTTGAAAGCCTTTAGTGGCTTCTTTTAACTTACAATACATCTAAAATCCTTATTTGGTCTAAGAGAGAGAGCCTCCTTGGAGTCTCAGAAAGACACAGTTTGGATAGTAAGTTACGTCACTTTACCTAGAAGGCCCTGCTACTCTCTGAGCCCCCCCTCCCCGCCCCCTACAAAGATGCCATTCACACTCGCTCTCTGAGCTCTTCTCCACTTTGGGCCGAGGCAGGTTCCGCTCCTCCCGCCAGGCACACTTTCCTCCCCTTGCCCCACACTCAGCGGTCACCTCGGAGCTTCCTGAGCTCTCTGTCCACACCGCTGTCGCCCTGTGCTCTGTATCACGTCCTTGTTCGTGTGCTCCGTAGTCACAAGAATCTCGGGTTCAGCTGTCCTGTCTACTTGTTTAATCTCTGTCTTACTGGATTGTGTCCCATTCATTGTGGTATCCCAGGGCCCAGCAGAGAGCCCGTCACTGAATGGCTCCCTCAAGAAATAATCTGTTGTCCGGCCCATGTGGCTCAGTGGTGGAGCGTCGACCCTGCACCAAGAGGTCACCGGTTCGATTCCCGGGCAGGGCACATGCCCAGGTTGTGGGCCCAGTCCCCAGTGGGGGGCATGCAGGAGGCGGCCAGTTGATGTTCTCTCTCATCGATGTTTCTATTTCTCCATCTCCCTTCCCCTCTCTCTAAAAATCAATGAAAACATATGAAAAATTAAATAAATAAAAACTTTGTTAAACAAACAGAGGACCTTCATTCCCTGACCCCCGACAAGGTGAAGCTGCCACACTACACGCAGTCCAAGCCCGTCTCACAGTTACACTTACGCGGCAGTTTGTGTCCCGGGAGCTGGGCTGTCAGCGTCTCGGGATCACACGGCGCTGAGAACAGGCCTGTGTCTGACATGCTTAGAACAGGGCAGGTCAACAAGCCGGAGTCCGCGGGTCTCCGGCAGGGGCTCGCGGCTGGGAGCTGGGGAGGAGGCGGTGCAGGCGTCCCGGTGGCCAGGTTCCATGCAAGGACAGCGCGTGGGGCCGGTGGGGAGGGCGGGGACGGGGGCCGCACACGGCGCGGGGCTGGCTGGCCTCCCCTCTCATCAGCAGAGTTTCCCTTGACTTTCTCTGCTTCACTCTTTTGTCTCCCCCTTAGAAGCTTCTTGAACCCCAGAAAGATCTGGGCAAGGCTTCTGGATCCTGGGCAGCGCTGGGGAAGGGTGCGGAGGCCAGCTTCTCGCCGTTACCCTAACCGATTCTGTGTTCTTCGTGAACAGGAGCCTCAACAACCATGGGCCAGCCGATCACAACCCTAACCCCCGGTGATACGGAGCCTCCAACCACGGCCACACAAGTCACCACTACAGCATCCAGCGGCAGCCCTGCTGCCACCACGAGTGACCCAAAGGGGGCTCAGGGTGCAGGCCAAAGTACACCTACACCGACACCGACACCGACACCAACACCACCTACACCTACACCGACTGTCCCCGTGAAGACGCCTGTCCCCACGAAGACGGAAACCACAAGCAGCCAGAATGGAATTAAAAGTACAGCTCAAGCTGCAACCCAAAGTAGCCACAGTGTTACTACCAGCATCGGGACCACTCAGGAAGTAACCCAGGCGACCCCTCAGCCTCCACAGGTGGTTAACAGCCCGCACACTACCTCCGCTGCTCCTTCCTCCACCACCCAAGCGGACACCCAACCACTGCCTTCGGGCCCTGTTACTTCGAACCCCCCGGGGAGCTCTTCCGAGGGACCAAGCAAAATGCCTCCGGCTTCACAGGGCCCAGGCGCAATGACGGGGGGCACCGTCACGTCTCAGGGGACCCCTGCCACATCAAGTAAGTCATGCCTTTTATTTCCAGGCAAAAAGAAACTTTTATTTTTATTTATTTATTTATTTTTTTAATTCCTCACCCGAGGATATGTTCTTACTGATTTTTAGAGAGAGAGGGAAAGAGAAATATCGGTGTTTTAAAGAGAAACATCGATCAGTTGCCCTCCGTACGCACCCCAACCGGGGAGTAAACCCGCAGCCTTTTGGTGTACAGGGCGACGCTCCAACCAACTGAGCCACCGGCCAGGGCAAGGAGCAACTTAGAAGCTCAGAATCAATACAGCTGCTCAGCTGGAAGACAGAGATTCAGACTTAGGGTCAGATATTGGGAGATAGCACCCCCCTTTCATCCAGCTGGCTTCCCGTTGCAGTGAGCAGAGCTGTGCTGTTAGTGCCCTGCCCGGTGGGCACAGGAACCGCCCATGGTCTGTTCACAGGGAAGGCCCCGGGAGGCGGCGGTGGCAGGGCACCGTTAGAAATTCTCCGGAACGGTTTCTCAAACCTGTTTCACAGCAGTCTACTGCATGAAATAACGCTTTGGTGTTATACCACGGTACAGGACACAGACATGTGCAATACACGTAACACGGAGAACGGATGTGCGTTTTCGCTAGCCAGGGCTTATCCTCACTCTGTGGGACACACCTGATGTCTTCTATTTCGTAACCCAGTAAGTTAATTCCGGAACTCACTGCCGGATCATGAGCCTCCAGATCACGACCCGTGTCGGGTCTGTCGAGTCGGCACTTCTGAGTGCAGACCCGCGAACCTGCATTTCCAAGCTCCCCCCAGGTAATCGGGGTGCGCCCTGAGTTCACAGACTGCCACACCAGAAGAGGGCGGTCACATCCCGGCTCTGCCTCTTGTTGGCATGTGACACTAGGCAAATCGTCAAGCCTCTCTGCGCTTCAGTTGCCTTGTTTATAACATGGGGATAATTATAGTACCTTCCTCCTAGGGTTGTTGTGAGGATTAAATAAGAAAGTACCTTTGAAGCGCTTAGGACAGTCCCTGCAGGAAGTCGGCGCCTCGGCTAATGTTAGCTCTTGCTGCGGATGCCATTGTCATTGTTACTTTCGTCTTCGTCTGCCGCTGGCTCGCCCAGTCTGACCCAGCCTGCACTGTGCTACAGGGACTGACCTCTCTGCCTCTCCTCATGGTCTGCTACTCCAGCCTGCAGTCCAGGGGAGGACAAGACCAGAGAACCCGAGGGAACTGAAGACAAAGGCTGGCCTTTCCTCCCCAAGGTACCGCTCACCTTCTCTCTCCTTTGTTTTCCCAACGACAGCACCACTGGTCACCTCACGAGGAAGTCAACAGATCTCCACCGACACGCCAGCCGTCACTGGGACCGTTTCCTCCGTCACTGGGACCGTTTCCTCCGTCTCCGGGACCCTTTCCTCCGTCACTGGGACCTCCTCACCTGCGACTCCGTGGCCTCCGGTGTCTTCATCGGGGCCCGTGGCCACGCCTCCGGTTGGAACCACAAGCTCCAGCGCGCATTTGGCTCCAACTACCCCCAAAGACTCCAACGTCTCTTCAGCCACCCCAGCTCTCGAGACCAGCAGGGTAATCTCAGCAGGGATGGGACAGCAAGCCCAGACTGGAGTAGAAGGGGCTGAATCCGAGAAGAGTTTTCTATTCTTCCCTCCGGCCCAGGGCCCCTGCTAGGGCTATAAGGAGCCGTCCTCCAACTGCCCTGCTCCCTCCCTGGCGTCGCCAGATTCTGGCTTAGACAGCTGGACACACGGGCTTTGAAAATCTGGCCCAGCCATGCTCCTGATGGCCAGGGACCCCTTTGTCTCACCCACCCAGGGGGAGGGAGGGAAGTCCAAGAGGGGAGCCTGTCCATCTCAGCCTGAACTTAATCCCAGTGGCTTCTTGCAGATAAAGTGCGAGCCTCCCGAAAAGCTGAATGAGAAGATGCTCATCCTGAACTTCACGACAACCAGCCTCTGCGTGAGTGCCTCGCCAATCCCAGCCCCCGACCCCCGACTTTCACCTCCAACATGCAGCTGAGCAGCAGCAGGGTAGAGTAGAATGTAGAGGGACTAAGATGTGTTCCCTTTCCTGGCCTTGCTTTGTCCTAGTAGGAAGTAGCCCCGTCCCATCTTACAGAGGGACAGAGTGAGGCTCGGGCTTGATTAAGTCCCACGCCCAGGGCTCTGCCGCGCCAGAAGCACCAGGTGCCCTGGGCCATCGCCGTGTAACTAATCACATGCTCTGAGCATCTGGAGACCCCAGTCCTGGTTCTCAGGGTAACTAGGCCTATCTCTGTGGGCTTCAGGGGCCTCGATTAAACACGAGAGGCTTAGTCTGCCTGACTCGCACTGTTCTTATCATCTGGTTTTCTGTTTCCTGGTCCATGTCCTCAGTGCAAGAACAGCATGGAGAGAATCTTCCTAACCTGAGCAGTCAGAGCCCCTGAGCATCAGAGAGCCATTGCCAACAGTTCTTCCACTCGGGGTGGCGTGTGCGTGCGTGCGTGTTGGGGTGGGAGTGTCAGCATGTGAGTACATCTGCATGAAAGTGAGTGCAGCGTGTGTGCCTTCAGACGCCAGTCTAGAAGATGAAGGTTTTTTCTCCGCTGAGGGCTGAGCCCTGTGAGTGCAGGTGACGGACGGCTCGCTGCTGCCCTCTCCTGGTCAGTGTCTATTTTTGCAGACGCCCCTAGGAACCGGAACAGAACCTGGTTTCTAAAGGATGGAGAACTTGGGTTTACAGCCCTGGAATGCCGCCTGTATTTTCTGCAGTCATTTCCTTTCGGGTGTCCATTTCACTGGCACTTTCCAAATGAACTTTGCAAAACCATACATTTAGCCCAGAGTTTTAAAAGGAAGCAGTGTTCCCCTGAGGTCAGGCTTATTGGACCAGGCGGGAATCATGTTGTTGACGGGTGTGTGGTTGGGTGTGAGAAGCACTTTCCCCTTTGCTATGAGAAGAAGGTGGAAGGCTCTGGACCCCTGCCTGGTGGCAGGTGAGCCTAAGGGAATTCTAGGAGAAGCCCGGCAGATGGCTTGGCCTTTCCTCACTCGGTCCTCCGTTCCACAGTCGGGCCAGAGACACACCTGCTGGGTGCCTCGGGATGGCAGGACCGGGTAAAGCTGCCCACACTTGCTTCTTCACCCTCTGCCCCAACACTGCCGGCCATTCTGCTTAGATGTTAGAAAGCTCCCACCCAGGCCCAGCGGCTCAGTTGGTTGGAGCGTCGTCCCGTACGCTGAAAGGTTGTGGGTTTGATCCCTGGTCAGGGTGCAAACAGGAGGCAACCTATTGAAGTCTCTCTCTCTCTCTTACTCTCTCTAAAATTAATAAAACCATATCCTCGGGTGAGGATTAACAAAGAAAAAAGAAATAGAGAAAGCTGCCTTCCAAGATGTGCCCCGTGCATCTTCCAGACACACCCCAGTTCCCTGTTTGGTGACGGCCCCGCCTGTCCTCCTGCCAGAGTGCTTAGGGTTTCAGAGGGTCTTAGCCTAGGGGGCGGGCACACGTTTCAGCTCTGGGATAGATAACCTTGAACTGAGAGCCACGGCTTCCTCTCCCGAGGTCTCCGAACGGGGCATCAAGGCTGGAGCGAGGTTCAGGGAGAACTGGTCTTTCCCACTGGCAGTGGAGGGGGTCCCGGGCGGTGCCTCCTCTCGCCCCTTCTAGGGGAAAGGGGGAAGGGGCATTGGGTAGTGATCTGTTAAGAGCTTTGAGGGAGAAAGGAGCACGAGGGCAAAGATGCACAGGGTGAGGGGACTGGGGCAGAGGTGGGGCAGGGTCTGACCGTGCAGAGCAGCACATGCCCCGTGACCCTGGAGGCCCGGCGTGCACCAGCTGAAGCTAGAGAGGGAGAGAGATTCGTGCTGGGCAACAGCATTCTCCCAACCTTGGTTCCCAAAGGCAGCCTAACAAACCTAGGCTGCTGTCAGGGTCCCCGAGGAATCACCTGGGCTCTCCCTCAACAGACGCAGAAACCGGAGAGCCCTCTGCAGGACGAGCTGGTCACACTGCTGTGCCGGGCAGCAAAAGCCAACTTCAACCCACGTCAAGATCAGTGCCACATACGGTTGGTACCTGTTCCGCAAAGCCAGGCAGTGGCGATCAAAGAAATCACTATCCAGAGTGAGTTGGGGGCAAAGAGGGGCTGAGCCCTTTGTGGGTGGGAATGGGGGGGGGGTAGTTCAGAAGCCATGGAGATGGGTCAGTTCCCTAAGGATTGTCGAGCCGTTCCCCGTCCCGGGCCACCCAGAGACACCGCTCGGGAGGCAGAGAGACAGCATGTCCTCCTGTTGGCCCGTCTCTGTCCCTCACCAGACCACTCTCTCCCTCCTCCCCCACAGCAAACCTCCTGCCCCAGGACGTGTTTGAATCTCTGAAAGACAAATGGGATGACCTAAAGGAGGTAAGTGGGCTCCTCCCACAGGGTGGGACAGAAGTCCGCAGGAACTTGGCGCCACACTGTCTCTCTCATTGTAGAGGGACCTCTAATTTGCAAGCATCTAGAAGACAGGAGGACGAGAGAGGGGACAGCAGGGTGGTGTCGTAGGCCCCAGCAAACCCTAAGCAGAAGGCTTATGAGTGAACAGGAATTCAGAGTGACCCGGAACCTGTTTTCTGCAGGTGGGAGTCAGTAACATGCAGCTTGGGGACCAGGGGCCGCCGGAAGAGACGGAGGACCGGTTCAGCATGCCCCTCATCATCACCATTGTCTGCATGGCGTCCTTCCTGCTCCTCGTGGCCGCCCTCTATGGCTGCTGCCACCAGCGCCTCTCTCAGAGGAAGGACCAGGTGAGGACTCACTCCCCGAGCCAGGAAGCAGCCCGGCCCCAGGGGACTCTCACCCCGTCGTTCCCATATTAGAGGGAAGTGAGAGGGTATGGCCCAGGCAGGCATCAGCCCTTCCATGGAAAATTAAAGTGGCAGCATGTTGGACGGAGAGAACGTGGGCTTTGGAGTCAGAAAGACGTGGTTTAAGTCCTAGCTCTGCCTCTCTTGTCTGTGGGACTCTGAGCAGGTCATAGTCTCTGAGCGTCTGGTTTGTTATCTGCACGACGGGGAGCAGAGCCACTTTGCAGAGCCGCCGATGTCGGTGGGCGGGCATGCCTGTGGGCCAGTTCTTTCAGGCACCTCACCCGCATCCCCATCGTCATGCTGCCACCTGGACTCGTGGTCCTAACCCTGGCTGTGCCCTGCGCAGAGCTTTTAAAAAATGCCCTTGCCCAGCTCCCCACACAGCAGCTGAAACAGAATCTCTGGATGAGTGTACTCTTTTAAAAGCTTCCCACATGAGCCCTGGCCGGTTTGGCTCAGTGGTTGAGCGTTGACCCATGCACCAAGAGGTCGCCGGCTCGATTCCCGGTCAGTGCACATGCCCAGGTTGTGGGCCTGATCCCCAGTGGGGGGCATGCAGGAGGCGGCCAATCGATGTTCTCTCTCATTGATGTTTCTTTCTATCTCTTTGTACCTTTCCCTTCCTCTCTCTCTCAAAATCAATAAAGGAAAAAAAAATTTTTTTAAAAGAAAATCTTCCCAGGTGACCGCTGTGCGCCCAGGTTGTATCTCCGATAAAGACGGGGAGAAAGCGCTGGTCGGCAGTGGCTGGGTTCTGCTCGCCCATCCTGCCAGGCTTAGGGAGGTCCTCAGCCACCCCACCTGAAGAACGGTCTTCCTTCCCGCCCTTCCCAGTGCAGCACAGTGGGGTGAGGCAGGTGCCTGGAGAGTGAGGCTTGTGGAGAGGGAATGGAGCAGAGAGTTTGGGGGACGCTGGAGAACGAAGTCCGTTTGCACTTCCTTCTGGATTTGCCACCAGGGTGGAGAAGGTGAGGTGAGCTGGAAATGTTAGGGCGTCCTCGTCTCCAGCTAGCCCTGAGGCAGGCCATAGTCAGGGTGGCCTCCGAGAGCACTGACTGCTCACATTAGCCAAATCGGGGTTCCTGGACTATAGGGGTACCTGTGTTTTATGAAGGCTGACAGCCCTCAAATTACCCTTTCTCCGGGGCTCCTCTTCCCCGCTTTAGCAACGACTCACAGAGGAGCTGCAGACAGTGGAGAATGGTTACCATGACAATCCAACGCTGGAAGTGATGGAGACCTCGTCAGAGATGCAGGAGAAAAAGGTGGTCAACCTTAATGGGGAGCTGGGAGACAGCTGGATTGTTCCTCTGGACAACCTGATCAAGGACGACCTCGACGAGGAGGAAGACACACACCTCTAATCAGGTCTGCAGGCGGCCGCCGACACTGCAAAGTCCAGACTGAACCACCTCAAGTGCCAATTGGACAGGGACGAAAGTCCTTCCCATCTGAGGGAAAGACCGCGGGGGTGGGGGGTAGCAGACTTCGAGGGACCCGCCTCCCAATCCCCACAGGGCCTTAATTTTTCCGTTTTCAAGCTGAACAAATCACATTCTGTCTAGATTCCTCTTGTAAAATAACCCACTAGTGCCTGAGCTCAGTGCTGCTGCAAGGTGAGAGCACGAGAAAGCGAAGAGGGAGCCCTGGAAGGGACTTCCGAGATCGCTCAGCAGGACCCCTTCCCTTCACAGACAGACGGCCGAGGCCTGCGGGGGGTCAGGGCAGGACCACACAGCCACTTGGTGACAGTCAGGGTGAAAGCAGACTCCCCCTTCGGTGCGCAGCCCACCTGGCCACACCGCTCTGGTCCGGTGCGCTCCCTCCGCCTGCTCCCTCCGGCCTCCGAGCTGCGTGGGCGGGGCGGGGCTGTGGGCGGGGCGGGGCTGTGGGCGGGGCGGGGCTGCGGCCGGCCGTGTGGGCTAGAAGGGGAGCAGGGCCAGGTCCTCGCAGTGGGATCTGATTATTGGACAGGATAGGCCCCAGGTTCAGTCTCCCACACCGGCCTCATCCGCCTCTCCCCCCCCCCCCTCGCTCAGTGTGTATTCCCACTGTCCCAGCACCCTGGGACTGACAGTCGTCACGACCTTGAACCCCTTGTTCTGAATTCTGGTTTCTTGGCATTTGCTCAGAGGTTGAGACTTAACCCACACAAGACTCCCAGTGTGAACGAGGTCTGCTGAGGGGTCTTGCCTACAGTGGACAGCGGGGACGCCCTTGCTCCCAGGCTGGGTCCTGGCCCGTCACCCAGGTGCTCTCTGAAGAGGCTCCCCGAGTTCCTCTGGCCCCCCATTTCCACTGGGGACTGAACGTGACGTTCAGCTACTGAAGTCCAAGTGTTCCTGTTTGTTCACAGCTCATCTGATGGGGGCGAGACCCAAGCTAAGGAACCCCAACCTTGTCCCCCAAGACCCAGTGTGAACGAGCAGCTCAGGAGACTTCCCGGGGCCCCAGGCAGCAGCGAGGTGGCCTAATAGACAATCATTTGAAATAGCCAAGAAGGATAGGCTTACTCTCTGTTTCATAGGAACTCAGGGACTGTTCAAGTTGCTGAGAGGTTTGTTATTTTGATGTATTTGTTTGTTTTGTAACCCAGCCCTGTACTGCCAAAGGCCAAAGCTCAAATGATAGGGAGACTTTCAGCTGGGTAATGTCACTGACTGCCTCCTGGGCCACAGGGCAGGGCAGGCCCAGGGTGTGCCGTGGGCATCGCAAGGAATAGGGCAGCCTGGGGGCCTGGGCCTCCGGCTGTCCCAGTCACCATACTGTTCGTTCTCCATGGAGTCGTGTCCTCCCCTCTGGAGTCCTGCTGGGGCAGCCCAGTCGTCCTGCATCTTCTGGTGGCATCTCAGGGAAACAAAATCGCGCCTATTTCTCAGTGGAGAGAGTTGAGGGAGCTCAGCAGTCAGCCACCATGCAGAGGGCACCCGGAGACCAGGCAGAGTGAGGTTGAATCCGATTTTCTAAGAACACAGAATCCTGTGTGGAATTTTGAACTTTGCCCAAGGTCTCTGGTTCCTGGGCATCGAGTCCCTGAAACCAACTAGGAAGAACTGCTTAGGAGAGTGAAGAGAACCCGAACGGGGGGTGGGCCCAGGCTGCCAACCGCTGATGAGTAGGCTCCCTGCTTCGGGAGAGGCTGTTGTTCAAAGGGGAGGAGCTGAGGGAAGAGGGATGTCCTTCCTCCTTCTTCACAGCCTTTAGCCCTTTGGCCTTGGGGTTCAAGTTGGGGCCCCAGTGGATTCCCCAAGAGCTAGAGAGACGCTAGGCGAACAAGGACCCAAAAGCATTTGCCCTGGTCCTCCAGTGCGCAGAGGCTGGCAGGAGGACAGCGTGCCCGTTTGAAGGGAAAGAGGACATCTTGTCCTGCTGGGAAAGGTGTTGGCTTCCTTCCCGCCCAGCATCTGGTTCTTTCTACCGCGTGGGTTTCCATCATGGCCTCTGGGAGAGGCCAGGAGGACTCGACGCCTTTGCAGATTCTGGGTCATGTTTCACCAGCCAGGCCTTTAGACGGAGACAGCAAATATGTCTCTGAAAACTGACCAAAGGCCACTCACTACCCCCAGGCCTCTAGGGGTATTTTCTTTAATAAAAAAGAGATGATGCCTGACAAGCACTGGAGAGTAAAAATCATGCTTGGTCGAGAGGAGACACTGCCCAAGGAGACACTCGAGAAGCTTTGAGCTGATTCAGGGATTCCTTCTTTTGGTGCATCCGAAGTGTGTTGCCCTCTAGTCTTTTAGGACAACCTCAGAACCCAGTCCCGGCCTTGGCTTGCTCTTGCCGCAGACCTCAGTGTCAAGGCCATAGGTGCACCTGTAGGTCATCGTCTCATCTCTTGCCTGGGTTCTAACTGCTGTCTGGCAATTCAGATTCTGGGGCTGAGGAGAGAGGGAGGAACTCTGGGAACGCACGTGACTGGGAACAAGGTGTACCAAAGAGATCATGAACTCTGTACTTCAGTGGCACACTGGTCCCCTAAGCTGCGTGAAGCCAGAAGCCACACCCCTGGTTGGACAGATCCAGTGGGAAGCATGCTGTCAGAGTGGGCAGAGAAGCCGCAAAGCTTTAGGAGGACACACAATATTATTGGCATCGTAAGACAATACGGGTTTAATCTGGACAGATTCCTTTTCCCCCTCTTGACAAGGAGAGCTAGCAGAAAGTTTATTCAAACCACTTCTGAGCTTCATCCTTTTTGACAATATGCTGGAGAAACTTTGAAAAACAAGTTCAAGCTGATACATATCTACATATTTTGGTAATGTATATAAAATGGCCACGTTAATCCACCCAGCACTGCTTTAAGTGAATATACTTTGGAAAAACATTTGTAAGAGAGATGGCTTTTTTTTTCCTTCTCTGAACAGGAATGTAAATATCTATTTTACTAGAAATGACAAGTTTTTCTTTGATATTTCTCTAATAAAAATTGAAATGTAAGACAGGCTGATGACAAAATATGTGTCTAGCATATTGGGCATTTAAAAACTTTTTTTTTTTTTTTTTAGAGAGAAAGGAAGAGAGAGATGGAAAAATCGATGAGAAAGAACATAGATTGTCCGCCTCCTGCATGCCCCCCACTGGGGATCGGGCTCAACCTGGACATGTGTCCTGACCGGGAATTGAACCAGCGGCCTTTTGGTGCATGGGTCAGTGCTCAACCACTGAGCCAACCCGGCTGGGCCCAGGCATTTTAATTTGAAATGCAACCCTCATGCCCTCCCAGCAAAGCCCCAGCCTGTTGCATAAGGGCTGGAGTCGATGTGCTCCGGTTGGAAAGTGACATTCCAGTCCCAGGGAGGCAGTTGTAGAGACTTAGAGACCTCGTTCCATGGTTTTTCTTTCTGTTTTCAAACAGAAAACCTGCAGCCCAGAAAGAGAGTGACTGGGCCCAATCCCATGGTTAGGGAGGGACGCGGATGCCAGCCTGGGCGGGAGGGCCGTCCAGGGCTTGTCCCCGAGCACAGGCGCCCGAAGCACACGAGGGACACTCCCTTCTCGGGCTCGCGCTGAGCAAGGCCAGGAGACGATAGGAACCTTACTGCTCTACTTTCTCCGAGTTATTCAGGTCTCAGACTTAAACGAACAATTCTTTCCTGCCAAGGGAAGTCTTGAATGAGCTGTTCCATAGGCATCTGCTGGACCAAGGATCGCAGGGAACAGGACGGGAAGGCAGTCACTTGCCCGGGGAACGGACACGGGGGGAAAGGAGGGTCACTATTCGGTGTAGGTCTTTCTGTTACTAGTGAATGTTAAACAGTTTGCCCAGGAAACTGGGGGAGCACAGGGGTCTGAAGTACACTGGAATTTACTGAAACTTTGTAAAGGCTATCCTTAATTATTGCCATTTTCTTACAAAAATATATTTTTGAAAATTGTATACCATCAAATAAAGTGCTTTTGTGTAAGCTGGTCCGGGCCTCAGTCTGTGCTCTGCATGGCTCGTGTTCTTGCGTGAGGCTCTCGCTGGCCAGTGTGGCCCCTGCTCACACCACTGAGCCTCGGGTCCGAGGGGGGGGACCCCGGAGGTTCCCCAGACCGCCTCGGGCTGTTCCAGTGCTCATCACCACACTTTCTAGCATTGTTTTACCTCTGCCTTCCCTCTACTTCCACTTCAGCTCCAAGTGGGGACCACCCAGCACTCAACCCTGATCAGGTATGAAAATAGAGACAAAACAAAAATATTTAAAAAAAAAGAAATGGAGGTTCTGTACTGACCCCGTTCCTGCCCATATAAGGACCTGTTTAGCCCTGGCCGGTTTGGCTCAGCGGTTGGAGCGTCAGCCTGCGGACCAGAGAGACCAGGGTTCGGTTCCCGCTAAGAGCATGTACCTCGGTTGTGGTTTGTCCCCAGCGCTGGTAGGGGTCGTGTGGGTGGCAGCCACTCGATGTGTCCCTTTCACATTGATGTTTTTCTCCCTTCCTCCCTCCTTCCCACTCTATCTGGAGATAACTGCAAAAAAATGTCCTCAGGTGAGGATAATAATCTGTTTACCTGTCACAAGAAGCCTCTGCCTGTCCCGTAAGCACTCAAAGATGACACAGTTCTCTTCATCTAGGGTGGTGTGATCTACCTGTGTCCTCCCCAGAAGAGAACTCTCAGTCCAGTTCCAGAGGGCAACCAGCAGGCGGATCTGGTCCACATTCATAGTTGCTATACGATCTCTTCTGTTTACCTGACATCTCAATTTACAAAACATTTTTACGGCCCTGGTTGGTTTGGCACAGCAGTTAGAGCACAGGCCTGCGGACCAAAGGGTCGTGGGTTCAATTCCCAGTCAAGGGCATATACCTGGGTTGCAGGTTTGATCCCTGGCCCTGGTTGGGGTCAAGCAGGAAGCAACCAATTAATGTCTCTCTCTCACATCGATGTTTCTCTCTCCCTTTCTTCCACTCTAAAAAAATCAATGGAAAAATACCCTGTAGTGAAGATTAACAAAGTAAAAACAAACATTTTTTCTTATTCAGAAACTATCACCACTCTACCAACAAGGAAATTAGGTCCAGAGATGACGGCTTCTCTGAGATCACACAGGTATTTAGTGGCCGTGCTGCTCCTTGGATCTATAGCTCCCCCCCCTCCCCAATTCCACGTTGATGCTTGAGCTCCAACAGTGTATTTCTAGAATGCAACCAGTTAGAACATGATTTTCTTTGTGTGGGAGTTCTGAAAGGCAGCTAACACCCTTCAGGGTGGACCAGAGCTGGACCAGGGGTATTTTGAGGTTAACTTTAAGAGTGTGCCAAAGATACAGAAAGGAACCAGGAACTCGGTACCAGGAACTCGGGCAGGCCCTGGGCCATGATTGAGGCACTGTTCTGAGAAGAGAATGACTCATAGTTTATTGCTGGCTACAA